CTATTTTCCCCAGGACTTGAATAGTGGAAGTTTTAAGGGAATGCCAAAGTACAACCCCTTAAAAACAATTTCTTTCTTGTTTGCAGTGGCTCTAGAACTTTAGTTCATTCATGACTGGAAAGAAACAAACTCCTTCAATCCATTTACTTCTATACAGAATGGGGGCATTCTACCTAAGAGAAGCCAAATATCAATATCTTGGAGGACATCTGCAATTGTTTCACAGCTATAGTTTTAAGATTTCTTTGAGATTTTGCCCCTTTTTCTCATATTACATCTCATTCTATACTCAAATCACTGAAATCACATTTCAATCCTAATTTCTATTGTCTCTGAATCCATGGTATTTGCAACTGTATCTTTCATTTATTACTAGTTTTACAAGATCATCAATTTTCCTCACCTTCTGTCATTTAAAAATCAAAATAAAGTTTACACAAATGTGAGCAGGTGGGTGCACTGAGCCTAAAAGAGCGAGGGAATTGTATCACTTAGTATTTTGCTGCTATCGCTAAAGGAAAAATAATGCTCCCATATGGTCTGTCACTGACCTAGTGCAATCCAGAAACTTCATTCCTTCAAAGCTAGCTATTATTCAGGCACAATCCTTATCATGCCAGTAACTTCTGTAATAGCGCCATAACCTTCTAGCTTTAACCAGTATTCATGTCCACGAGTTTTATTTTCTTGCTGGTCCTGCACAGCCATAATTTCTCACTGCATCACATCTACAATTTCAGAGAGAGTTTACAGGACATTTCAGAATCTCTGTCTCAGTCCAGACACTTGGGTTACTGCCACATTACAGACATGAGGTTTGCAGAGAAGAACTTCTCTGTAGATACAAGTGTCTGAGCATATCTATACAATAACAGGATAGTTACCTGATCAGCTCCCCTCCCCCCCAAAAAAAACCAAAACAACAACAAACAAACAAAATGCATCCCAACAACTTTTTTTTGTAAAAGCTGTTAGGGAAAGACACCTCAAACCAGTAGTTAGCATCCAGAGTTAAAAGAATTTCTCCTTTTGCTTGATAATATGCTGTAGAGTGCAGAAGAAAATCCCACATGGGAAGGATTTCTGTGAGACTGTGTTGGGCCTCACTGCTTTAACCCCTAGAAATTTTCCTCTAATTTATAAGTCTATGTTGCTCCTCCTATTTGAGTGGCCATAGCATCACAGACTGATACGGCGCATATGTTCTGCATTTGTTCCTTAAAAACTTACTTTGTTTTTCTTTTTTCTCCTCGATGCATTCAAAAGACAACACAATTATCTTTTTAACCTTTATTATGCTAGAGTAAATATGCTCAATTTCCTCAAACTGGTTAATTTTTCTCCACAGCATTCTATCCTTCCACTTGACCGGCTTATACATTTGGCAACATTTAAGTTTGTCTCAAGTGTCAGCATGTTAACAACCCAAGAGTTCTGCATTTCCCTGTTTCTAAAGCAACTGAGATTTTGATGATTATTGACTAAACAAAAAATAAATGTTAAATTCCCTTAATGGCAGTAACTTTCACATGATTTTCAGGTTTCAGGAAACTGCGACCTTAGCATGTTTCTTGCTAAGGTGGCAGCAAATTCCCATCATCTGGAGGAGAATTCCCACTCTTTAGAGTCTGTCTTTAGTTCACTGATTTACAGGCTACTTTTCATGTTATTTAGTCAGTCATGACTTCTCATTAGCTTACTTCCATTGAAACAATTCTGATAGTAACTGAGACAATTTAAAACAGTTGCTTGCTAATCACAAAAGTCACGAGTCTCTGCCCACTAGAAAAGGTGTCAGAAAGAGATGCAGAGACAGCAAGCAGCTTCCTTCTCTCCCTCAAGAGGGATGTTTCTTCTTAAAGACTTGTTATCCCATGCTTTCATTCAGGGAACCGTAATATCTGAGAGTGGCTTGCTCTTCAAACTATTTCTGCAGAGCTTCAGAACTGAACACTCTTCAAATGCCAGGAGCACTGGTAGTAGTGCTGGGAACAGCCAGATGATAACAAAAGCATATGGAGGATTTTTGTTTGGTTTTCTTTCTTTTCTACAGAATGTTTTCATTAGCAAATGATGACAACAGAAAATGAGATGCTCCTCAGATGACTAACTTTCTGAAACCCTAACAGTAATATGAGGGCTACAGCCCATCCAGAGCCCAGACTTGTCAGTATTTGCCTTGAAGACAGTAAGTAAACTGAGGGCCTAGAAGCTGCAAGAGCTTAGGAAAAAAACAGGCTCCCAGCCAGCACACCCAGTGGGCTCGTATCACAGCTCTCAGGCTTTCTGGGGAGGACCAAAGCATTCTATATCTTTAGAGACCTATTTTAAAACAGGATAGCATTTTTCTGTGCTTAATTCCATAATTAAGAAAGCTAAGTACCAGAAAAATGTGCTACTTTTCATCATATGGACTTTTAGACTGCACAGTGAAAAAAATATCAGCTCATACTACCAAACCCAACATGATATGGTTGTTTTAAAATATTTCCCATTCCTTTTTATGCCAAAAACCCCTACCTTGCATTGTTCAGTCCCCATATAAAACCAATTCAGCTTTGAGCATTACTTCCTTCATTTCAAGAAGTTATTGATTCTACTCAAAAGACCTTTTGCAATGGGTTCAGTGTTACTGTCCTTCCATCTGCTTCTGGTAGGTCAAGATGACAGAAAACAAACTATCTGCTCCTGTATATTTAGTGACTCCATGGTGGAAAAATATTCATCTTATGAAACTTTGGGCTCCTAAATATTTCAAGAATGTCAAGCAGCTATGATTCTGGAAGAAGATTTTTGATTGAGTCAAAACGACTTGAGCGTTGGGTTGTTTTTGTTTTTTTTCCACTGAAGCCATATGGAAGAAAGGGTATTAAATGACTAAAGGTATTACTGTGTTATTCAAAGAAGTGGCCTGATTTGCCAAAATAAGCCTCATTGTGTGTACACCATAAGGCTGTTAAAATCTAGGCATTGTCCAATAGAAAACAATGCCACTAAGATTTTTTTCTTTTTTGAGATCTGAGAAGAAACTATTTTTAAGTAACAAGCAGCTCTCTAAATATTCCTTAAACTTATTAAAGTTTCAAATAGGAAAGCAAAGTACTTGGCACATTTCAGAGGCAGTAAAAATGGTGATAGTTCCATGTGGGAAGACGGAACTCAGTTGTGGAAATGAGCTGCAAATGAAGTTGATTTTTTTTTAGACCGTATCTTCAGAACACAAAAAAGATTTGGAGTTCAAGAGAGTCTGATCTTAATGAAACAAAGCAGTGTATCTATCTCATCTGGTGAAGATGACACGGTTTATACTGTTTAGATAGACAGAAGGCCTGAAGAAAGGCAAACTGATTGAAACTTCACTATACCCACAGCTAAGATATGTTGTCTTTCAGAAAGACCAAGATATCTCACACTTTTATAGCTCCATCTTCTCTGTGTTCTCAGATCAGGTAGTTGTAAGGAGCAATAAGATCTTCTGAAGTTGTTTCTTCTCCAGCCTGAAAAAGCACACGAGCTTTCCACTGGCTCATCACTTTACCCAAGGCTCCATTGACTCAAAACACACCTTTGCACAGAACATAGCCTTAAGGCAGGGCATCTCATATTGTCATCTTGTTAGCACCTTAAGGTCTTGTGTACACAACTGGGGGTTAAGGAGTTGCATCACATTTGTTACAGTAAGAAAGGATGAGTGGGCCAGACATGCTGAGCTTTCTTAGGCTTGCCCCTTTGGTGAAAGAATCCTGAAGTTATGATTTGCTGTCACTCTTTTCAAATATGCCTGCACTATAGTAATTCCAGGGAAGGAATAATACCTTTTCATTAAAGATCAAGGGGAATGCATACATGGGCAAATGGAAAAGTTTCCATAGAACCGATTTCAGTGCTGTTGAAATATTATTTAAATGGTTTTACTTGATTATTAACCATATTATTGAGTCATTATTAATTCTACTAGTTAGAAATTAAAATCTTTAATGTGAACTATTTATCTAATAAGCTATTAAATTGATCCTAGAAAGCTAGACATTTCTATGTGTTTTGAAATTAATAAACAAACGAATCTTTGCAAATCTGTACTTTCATGTACATATGAAAATTTGCAATTCTTGATACAAAACTCACGTAATGTATCATCTTACTCACTTTCAACTTACCTCCTCCACATTTCTTGAATTTTGTTTCACTGGATTTGACTTAGACTGCACACCGTGCAATGTTTATATGATAATATTAATGTATCATTTAAAAATGCACAGTTTCAAATATGTCACTAAACAAACAGAAACTTTATCATTAAAAAAAATTCTCATTCTTAAAAAAAAAAAAAAATCTGATAAAAAATACCCTAGTACACATACATGTACAACTGCAATTTCAATCAGAAAACAGTGTAATTTAATAGTGCAGTGTCCAATGACTCACATGTAACTACCTGTCATTATATATCATGATGACCAAGCCTTGTTCTCAACTTCACTCATTATACCCTGTAGCTGTTCAAACCACAGACTGCTTGACATTCCACTTTACGATATCCTGAGGTTTTAGCTGGTATTTGCCTCTTATTTGCAAAGGCATGGTAATTATTAGCTTAGTAAGTGCCTATAGCAAAACTTTGTAAAAAACAAAACAAAACAAAAAAGAATGTTTCACAGATTGACTTAATAACATCTCATAGGTATTTTTTACTCAGTTTTACAAGTTCAGCTGAAAATCTCCAGTCTTTAGACCATCTGCATGCAGTCAAAGATAACTAATGGAAGAAAGAGCTCTGTAACACCCCCAACACCTCCCAAAGTATACTAAAAAAAAAACAAAACAACAAACCAACCCTCCCAACCCCCCCAAAACTAAACCTCAAACTCTGAAGTTCTTGTTTACAACAGATTCTCTTAAGGTAAATATTTCTATCTGGTGTTTTAAGTTAATTCATCCGAGGAAAACTTTGATCTGCAACTTTATTTCTTCAAGCTAGAAATGTGGTACTAATTGCTTACCTGACTCACACGCAAATGTCTTTGACGTCTCATCATGAAAGATAATTGCCACTGCATGCTTCTTTGTCTCTCGAGGCAGTCTAGTTATGTTTTTGATATTGTGCAGCTCGGTTACCTTAAAATGAAGAAAAGCATTTAAGGCCAACACATAAATAGTACAAATAAAAACATGAACACAACTACTCAATTTTTACTATAATCTCCCTCCCCCCAGGTAACATGCCTTTTAATTTATAAAAAAAACATAAACAGGCAGAGTCTGAAGCTGCAGAACCTTCTATCAAATGTAACATATTAAAAAGTGAAAGATCTACTTCTCTAATAAAGTTCTACTTGGAGACATAGTTATTACAATGACATTTAGACAGGTTTGTGATTATTCTGTAATATATTTTTCAATTACTTATTTGTACAACTTTGATCAGTTTCAGAATCTGCATCAAATAAGTTACCTAATATAGGAACATTGGTGTTTTATTGGTTAAGGGAAGTAACTTAATTATGCCAATTAGTATCACTACATTTGTAAGGTTGCGTCTGATTCTGTCACTATGCACCACCGAAAAGAGCCTGTCTCTGTCTTTTCTAAACTGCTCAGATATAGAGAATATACTCAATAATGAGTATACAGTGAATAAACCTTCTCATCTGCAGGCTTAACAGTCTCAGCACTCAACTTTTCCTCACAGGAAAGATCCTCCAGTCACCTCATCATCTTTGTGACCCTTCACTGCACTCTTTCCAGTATGTCCATCTGCCTCTTGTACTGGGGAGCCCAGTGCTGAACCCAGCACTGCAAGGTGTGGCCTCACGAGTGCTGACTAGAGAAGGATCACCTCCCTTGACCTGCTGGCAACACTTCTCCTAATGCAGCCCAGGATACCACTAGCTTCCTTTGTGGGAAGAGCATATTGCTGGCCCATGTACATCAAACCCTTTCCAAGCTGAAGTAGTTTTAGTTTTACCTGTTGGGCAAGTCAACAGGTTGACAGAAAAAAAAAAATCCCACCAGTTAACATCTCAGAAATATTAGTTGACAGTAAAAATGAGAGGGACCAACTAACAAATAAGCCCCTCAGTATTTCTACTGTTTATCTAATTTTTAATATCAAATAGAGATATGAATATTTTCTTTCATGTTTCTCTTTTGAAACTGTACAGTATGTTTCCCTTCAGAATCAGACCAGAAAGAGGCAACAGTAATGATACCATGAAAGTCCATCTTCCCACTGATATAGTGAACTGAAGTTAATCAAATTCCAAAATCTGGGTTTGATGCTGATGAAGCATGAGTCATTTCTCTACTTGCTGAACATTTGCAATTAATGAATAAACACCTGAGAGTTTATATTATTTTGTATGAAGGAAAAACGAACTTTGCCTTGGCAACCAGACTGTTTTTTCTCAGTGATTTTTAAAAGTGTGGTTTAATTTGTTATTGTTGTTTTTAATAAATAAATAATCCTTTTTAAAGGGGAAAAAAAGTGTCAAAGCTACTGAAAAGCCAAAAAAATACCCCAAACCTACAAAAGTTGTAACTCCTTCGACACAATTTTGCCCATCTCTTTGCAAACCTCAAGAAGGTTTTAAACACCAATCAAATTTAAAATGTATCAAAAAAGAAGCCCCTTTTTTATGAGTAGTGCATTAGACAAAACTACTTTTTTAAGCAATGAATCTTATACCAAAATTTGCTCCCTGTGCTATCATAACAGACTTGTTGACAAAATAGTGTAGTTAGTGAAAATATTGCTGTTCTTCACAACAACATAAAGTCTGGAACTATCTAGAGAATTTGCAACTGGAAAAATTTAATTTAATACATGCAAGAGTCTTACCTAGACTTCCTACAAAAAAAGAAGGAAATATTCCCATCGTGGGATTATACTTTGTCTAAAACTTTGGTACTATTAAAACCAACCCAACCCAACAAAAACTTTGAAAATCGGTTTTCTTATTTCCCTGTATTTGTATCCTTCTAGAACAAAATTAATTTCACAACAAATAAAATACCTGTTCAGTGAGTAATCTTGCAAACAGATTTCTTGCCTACCCTTATTCTTTATGATTTCTTCCAGTAGGGTAAATAGATCACAGAATCTCAGAATTGTTAGGGTTAGAGGGGACCTCTGGAGACCATCTCGTCTAACCCCAAGGCAATCCAACCCCAAGGTGGCCAAGGCAGGGCCACCTAGAGTAGCTTACACAGGAACTCATTCAGGTGGATTTTGAATGTCTCCAGAGAGGGAAACTCAACAATCTCCCTGGGCAGCCTGTTCCAGTGCTCTGCTACTCTCAATGTAAAGTTCTTTCACATGTTGAAACTTTGTGTGTTTAAGTTTATGGCCACTACTCCTTGTCCTGTCTCTGGACAGTACTAAGTAGAGTCTGGCACCATCCTCCTGACACCCACCTTTGAGATCCTTTTGTGTTAAACTAATATTACGCAGTTTAAAAATTTTCACTAAAACACTAGAATGTTAACTTAGATATTTATTTTTTTATCTACTAGATATTGGTGCTACCATTTAGTGCAGTAGTCCATATGGTGCTTAGCATGGTACACGTTAGGGACTTTTAGTGCCTGGTCCGTTTCTCAGTTCTCCTACTCCTCATCAATAATTCCTGCCTCATATGTCCATCACTCAGCAGCCCACATACACGTTTCCTTGCTTTTTTTTTTTTTTCTTCTACTTGGTTTCTTGATTTTTCTTTTTCTGTATCAGTCCCCAACATAATTTTAATTGTTTATAGAATAACAAATAGTTGAACACTAATTGAAGAATATACGTAGAATAACTACTTATATGTAACAAACTTTCCTTTGCCAAGCTTCGTTGATTCCACCTTTTTCCACATCTAACAGCTTCCTTCTTTCTTGGGGAGGTTGGGGGTTACATAGCTATATCAGAAACATCCAACGCCTTTACTTCTGGTTAATATTTGATGAAAGGACATGACTCTGAAGGGCTACAAGGTAGAACTGGTAAAGGCAGCATCTCATTCCTGCAAAATTAAACTAGAGTAGGCACCTGAGTCTCAAGGCTACCCATCAGTGATGGTTTCTGGAACTTGGTTCCTCTCACAGGTAGGAATTTGGATCCCCACAAAGGTTTCACATCAGCACAGCTGAAAAGAAATGCACTTGATCTGCACACAGTTTTTGGGGGTGAGTCTCAGATTGTTCACCAAAATCCAAAACTTCTTTACAAAGGCATATCAAACAATGACTAAAATAGAAAAGACCCTATAGTTAGTTTTCTGATGCTGCTGCTTCAGAGCACTTAAGAACCATCCAAACAGCACTTCAAGTAATGCAATGCACTTCCTCTCATCCTCATTGTTTTTCCTAATCTTGGTCTGCAGATAAGCATAAAACTCTAATTTGTTTTGTGTTGGTATAACATCTCATCTAAAAGGAGCATCACTTTAGGAGTGTCTACTTGTTTTAAGTTAATTTTATACAGAAATAATAAAACAAATAATCATCAACATCTTCTAAGTTCTGTCTAGACATATTTGAGTGGATCAACCATTTATAAAAAAGAAAAAGAAAGGAAAGAAAAGCTGTCTGCTTCTCTATGACTATTTTTAAAAAGTTTCAACATTTCTTTCAAAAGAAAACAAATAAATACAACATAGAGCTATGCATCAACCTTAAGAGCAAGAGAAAAAGCTGGAAAGGACTCTTCTGAAGGAATGAACAGTTAACAGAGCTTTAGTGCAAAAAAATTACTAACATAAGGTAGTCTGCGGTGGCCGGTAGCAAATACACTAAATCCAAGCAAGATGCACAGAGATAGGCTGATGATCAAAGAATTTATTCAGGATTGTTATAAGGAAAATAAAACCTCCAAACTGTAAACCCAGCCTTTGAACTGGATAGTCACCTCTGGCTAGCCAGAAGATATCAGATGATAGATTGCTAGTAACAAACTTCCGGTCTCTCCAAAAATGCTGTAGCACTAGACATTTCAGAACTCTCCCACACTGGCTATAACAAATCCTCCATGTTAAGAACTTATTTTCACATAGGAAAAACACCCACATTTTTTTTGTCTGGGAGTCTCTAACACATATTACAGCAATCTATAGCCTTCTTATTCAAAGTTCACTTGGTACATTGGTAAACTTCAGGAAATAATTGCAGGACAACATTTTCATTACGGTAGCAAAATATTTTATATGACAAAATAGTCACTGTCAACACAATTTAAGATACTTACCCTTTAAAATGTTTGGGAATTTTTGTTGGTTTTTGCTTTTCTTTTTGGCATTCTTAACTATTACAACAACGTGGTTGGTGACAGCCAGCATGGCTTCGTTAAGGGGAAATCCTGCCTGACCAATTTGGTGGCCTTCTATGATGGGGCTACGGAACTGATGGACAGGGGAAGAGAAGTTGAAGTCATCTACCTGGACTTGTGCAGGACACTGGACACTGTCCCGCATGACATCCTTGTCTCTAAATCGGAGAGACATCAAATTGATAGATGGACCACCTGGTGGATAAAGAACTGGCTGGATGGCCGCATGCAAAGAGTTGTGGTCAATGGTTCAATGTCCAGCTGGAGACCAGTAACGAATGGTGTCCCTCAGGGATCTGTGTTGAGATCAGTCTTGTTCAACATCTTTGATGCTGACATGGACAGTGGGATTGAGTGTGCCCTCAGCAAGTTTGCCGATGACACCAAGCTGTGTGGTTCGGTTGATACACTGGAGGGAAGGAATGCCATCCAGAGAGACCTTGACACGCTTGTGAGGTGGGCTGATGCCAACCTCATGAAGTTTAACCATGACAAGTACAAGGTCCTACACCTGGGTCAGAGCAATCCCAGACACAGCTACAGGATGGGCGGAAAAGAGATTCAAAGCAGCCCTGCGGAGAAGGACTTGGAGGTGTTGGTTGATGAGAAAATGAACGTGAGTCAGCAGTGTGCACTCACAGCCCAGAAAGCCAACTGTATCCTGGGCTGCATCAAAAGGAGGGTGACCAGCAGGTTGAAGGAGGTGATCCTGCCCCTCCACTCTGCTCTTGTGAGACCTTACCTGGAGTATTGTGTGCAGTTCTGGTGTCCTCAACATAAAAAGGACACGGAACTGTTGGAACAAGTC